ACATTTCGCTGGAGAGGAAATAACCCCTTTGTCATGATTGACTGATAAAACAATGTCAAAGCCAAAGAAAATATCAACATTTCAATTGTGCTTTGTTATAAAACAATACGTATTTACACTTTTTTATTAAGAAATCCACAGATACTTTTAGAGAGGTAAAGATTGTGCATAGTGTAACAAAGAATTGGCTGGGTTTATTTCATGTTCTCTCCCTCTCTATTCCCACATAGTTGGTCCATTGTGAACATTTTGAACTATTTTTAAATAACTGCCAAGAAATTGATAAAGGAATTGGTTTGGGGTGTAAATGCTCCAAAAAATATAACTTCCTGTTTTGACTCAACATTAAAATACAATTTATTTTGCATTAGCATTTAGTTATAAACTCTGGTACTCTTATTTACAAAGTAGGAAAAGTTAAAAAAAAAACCTCACTCTAAACAGGAATCACCACAGCTGGTTTGTTATATTTTAAACTAATTTCAATGATGCCCATTTAAAAAGAAACACTACTGTATCTCCCTTCTGGATAAGTGGATGTAGGGGAGCTTTTAAATCTATTTCTGTTATTTGAGATCAGCAGATCATTAAAGATCTAGAATCTCCTTTTAAAGAGGGAAATAAAAAATATATTTTCTATCAAGTCCTTTTACCATTAAACTAGTGTTCTTATTTTTAATTCTTCCTTCTATTTTTGTCACTTGCATGAGTTGGAGGTTATAAATATTATTCTAGAAGGAAAACTCGGTATGAGTTAAAATATAATAATACTGCTGGTTGTGTTTTCAAGGAATGTCTTTTGTTTATTTAGGGAAGAAAAAATAATTGGATCCACAAAGAATTGTTCCCTCATTTCAAATATATTGAAGCATGTACTAGTTCAGCCTGAAGACATGACTGTTGGTCTAATAATACCAAGTGCCTAATGCTCAGTGTTTTGTTTGAAGGGTCTCCTGCTGAAGTTTACTTTAAAACTATAGAGTCATAAGAAAGAAAGAGATATGGTCTTGAGGTTGCTCATTAACAATTAAAAAAATAGGTAGCAGAGGCATAGTAAAATAAAGGAGTTTGGTTAGATAACCTATTTTCAATTTAGTTTATTAATTGGCTGTTCTGACCCCCTCGTCCCACACCAAAGCACGCCGAGCCAAAGATACTTCACGGAATTTATTAACAGACAGACAAGCCGTGGCAGCAATCCAGAACAGACAAGCCTTGGCAGCAATCCAGCACAGACAAGCCTTGGTAGCAATCCAGCCTGCCAAGCTAGTTACAAAAGTTCTCCAACTTTTAGTCAATGCGTTGACTCCTGCAACGGGGCGTGTGCACAAGCATTCCTCTTATAGTCTTGAGAGGAGCCTAATTACCACCAGCTGAGTGCAATTATCTCCTGTAACTGCGCAACTGTTCCTTACGCCTATCAGCTCTTCGGTGCCAGGCATCCAGAAACAACTCATTGCTGACGTCCGGAGCACACTCCCTTGTCTCCTCCCCCCTGGTCCAAGGCTCAGGCACCTCCTGGTGGCCAATCAGCCTCTCTGTGCCCTGCTCGGAGCCAGAACCCTGTCCAGGGTCCTCCACATCCTCCAGAGCTGACTCATGGGGCCCCTTGCTGTCGGAGTCTCCAACGCAGCTCCAACGGCTCCTCCTGGGCCACAACAGGTACCACAAGGTTCCGTCTTAGGCCCAGGACTCTTCAATATCTTCATAAATGATTTAGATGAGGGAATAGAAGGGAACTAATATCATTTGCAAATGATATTA